GAGATGAGCGGCACAGGTTTCACATGCAGCCCTGGCTTCTGCTCTCCCAATTGTTTCAATCGTTTCAACCTGTGTAAATGAGCAAGTGGGAGGGGTGAGGAAGGGGTGATATGGGAGGCGGGTATTTTATTTTCCTTACTATGAAGGACCATGAAACTGGGTAATGAAACTTTAGGAAAAACCAGTGAACAAAATTATCACTCACCCCTCTCGTTTCACCACTACCAGTAATTTCTTCCAGAAGGACAACTATGTCTCCTTTCTGGGAGATGAAAAAGAGCTGACATCTCAGAGCAAATCGTCACTTCCTGTTTCCAAAGCTCAGTTTCTGACTAGAGCTGATAAAAAGAACTTGCCTTTCAAATGATTCTCCCCTTCAAGGGCTACATCTTGAAGCAATTACCTCCATCTTTAAGTGTGGAACACGACCTGGGAGTTACTGACCAGTGACAGGACTGGAGCCAGGCTGGCAATCTGAAACCAGAATGAAAGAAGGGCCGTGGAAAGACATGAAAGGGAAAATGTGTCCTTTGCCCTTTGAAGTAAGAGGCCCAGGCCCTCCCCGGAAGCCTCTTGCATGAACAACACGGCAGAGAGGTGCTTGTCTTCGGCCTGAGTGTGAGTCCAGACTCAGTCCCCACTAATGAAACCGTCTCCCTGAACCTCAGCTTCCTGATCTGTAAAAAGAGGTAAAGCACCTACTTCACACTGTGGTCTGGAGATTAAACACCAAATGAGAAACGAGAGGAAAGAGGTTATTTCTGCCTCATAATTTACCCAGGAGGATTTTAGAAAATAACCGGCAAAACCCTGTTTTCTTCATTCGTGACTCCAGCATCTGCCTCCCCAGGCAGGCCTATGCTCCCACAGGACCATAGCTCTGTTTAATATTCTTTTTGAGATGAAAATGCCCCCTTAAAGGTACTTTTGGGAAATCTGTCAGCAGGGCTGCTGAGGCTTTGTAGAGTTCACAAGTCTGGGCATTGTTCCCTCAGTTGCCTCGAGGGCAGGAAATGGGCCTGTGTCTTAGGCTCCTTGTCCCCAGCTCAGTGTCTTGACTCACAGACCATCTGTGTTCAGTGTTAACAAAACTGGAATAACTGTACTATGGCTCTAAGAGGCGGGCAACGTCAAGACCATACTGTCATTCCCATTCTCTATTAAAAAAACACAGGTTCATTGACTTTCTCAAATTAAAAAGTGGTGAACCTGCAGAAAGTCGTGTCCACTGACTCCAAGCCCCCTAAATCTGTCACTCTCTACGCCTCTTCTAAAAGGCAGCCATAACAGTGAGGCTCCCTGATGCCTGGAGCTCTGGGTCAGGTAGAAGGATGGAAACAGAGCCTGGAGGCCTTCAAGGGTTCCCAAAAGCTGGGTTATGTCCTCACAAGGAGGTTTGCACCCTCTCTTCTCCTCCACTCGGCCTCCCTATCCTATCTTCTTTTTGGCACTGAATATCGTCTCTGCTGGACCTTAATGACATCATAGATGACCAGTCTCTGGAAAGTGCTGCATTTGGCTGCCTGCTCTGTACAAAACCTCTGGCCCAGTGAACAGTATCAGCTTCCTTCCTGAAATCATCCCCCTCTGGAGAAGGGTCCGTGGTGGGAGGTAGAGGAGCTTGCTGTGCAGGAACGTGGGTCCCAGAGAACCTATGGAGGTCACTTCAGGAAAAGCCACCAGGGACCTCAACTACATCAACAGGCCATGGGGAACCCTCCCTGTGACACAGAGATTATGTTGCCAGCGGAGCCAGTCATAAGGAGGAGGGCACTGGCCCACGCCTGTGTTCGTTCCCAGGGTGCTATTTTGGGCCCCAGGCTCACACAGCCCAGTGTGCAGCACTCAGAGGCGCAGCTAGACAAGGCTCAGCCCTGTGAGCTCTGTACCCGGACCATCTCAGACCTGTGAAAACTGATCCAGGCCGTGGCCCCTTGAAGACCCAACTGTATGTTTCCTGGGAAATGTTTCTTCCTAATGGGGAAGCTTCCCTGAAAAATCCAGTCATGCTCAGTGAGTCTGAGACTATATCTGAGTAGGTGCTTCCTAGGCAGTCCCAAGAGATACTGTAGCTGCTCCCTTCTTAACCTACATCAGGCTGCAGACAAGTAATAATTAGCTCTAAATTGTGTCCATAATCTATGAGTTGCCCATGTGGACTTGCCCCTGTGCTGATTCTGTTTGGTTCTGGTTTGCCCATCTAACCCTAAGGTCTTCATGTTCTCTCTTTCTGATTTCTGGGGACTGGATGTGTTAATGCATAAAAGAAAACAGATGGGAACTGGAGATCAGTACCTAGCAGGGGCTGGGCCAGGCCAGGCTGAGGGGTGCATGGCTCATGAGTTGGGTAGGGAGCTCCCTTCCTTCCTCTTGGGCTCCTAGAGGGAGGCTGGCTTTGGTCAGGAGAAGAGCTGTAGGAAGAGAGAGCTCAGTGGGATTTTGGAGCCCATGTAAGCACAGGGCTTGGGCTATGCTGGTTGGGTTTGGGTTTCCTGAGTCCCCCACGTGCTATTCCAGCCAGCAGAGGGGACAAAGTCTAGAGCAGAGGTTGCAGATTAGAGGTCTGTGGGCCTGGCTTGGCCTGATGGTATATATCATGTGGTTCAAACAGTATTTTTTTTCTTCCATTTAAATTAGTCATCAATGTTTTTAAAACAGAAAGGTATCTTTAAATCTGGATGTCCAGCTGCTTGTGAAAAATGGGAATATCTAGTAACACTGGGCCTACATGGGCAACCAGCTGGAATTGAGCAGCAGCTGCCTCCTTAGACAACACACACTTAGTGTGCGGGACAGCCGGCCCAAGGGGAGCAGTGTCAGGGGGCAGTGCGAAGGCCACAGACTATAACAGTGAAAGAAACTGTTCAGAGCTCTGCAGGCCTTTGAGCAGGAGGCCAGGCTTGGCTCAGGGCAGGAATGGTTTCTGAGGACTGGCAGAAAGAGGCAATTGTTTGCCTCCATTCTCTGCCTCAAGGCCATGAGTCATTCTTGCTCCTATCACCAGAAGCCAAGGGCCCTGCAGTCCAGGATAACACAGTCAAATGAGGCAAGTCTCTGCCTGCCCCCAGTTCAGAAGACACATGTGCGTACTCCAAGCTACGAATGTCATCGCGTAAGTGCTGTGCTGCAAGAATTAAGTGTCTTTTCAGACAGCACCCAGCAGGATTCGGGAAAGCATCAACATGTACAGCAGAACTTTCAATTTGGGATCTGGAGCAAGGAACTCAAAAATCTCAAGCTCAGGTACCACCATGTCCAGCAAACACCTGAGGCTCATAGGCTCCTATGACGTGAACTCAGAATTGGTCAAGGAAGGAGTATTCCACATTCCTTTTATTTTAGCCTTGAAAGACTGAAAGCATGCAATGAAAGTTATGAGTGTGACATTATGGCTAAGTTCAGGAAGATCTTTAAATCCTAGAGGTGGCTAGTAAGAACTACCATATTCCAAAAGACACCAAGCCAGGACATCCACGTCACTGGCACATGCAAACCACATGCCTGCAACCAAACCCATACATAGCACACAAGAAAGAAGATTTAGAATGCACATGACATACAAAGTAACTGAGCTTCAGGCTTTTTCAAAAGTCTAAAATCCAGTCCATAGGACACAACAGACTCCCCAGGTGGTGCTGGGAACCAATGTGACTGCTTGGACAGAGACTCTGCCATAGAGAGGGAGTAGGGCAGCCCTGGAAGAGCAGCAAGGAGCAGAGGTCAGAGAACTCAGGAACCACAGTGCAGCCATTCTCTGACCTTCCGTGGCATGGTTACTAGCCAGGCACTGCCTTCCTGAAACGTCCACCTTCTGACAATTTTATGACAGGATGTCTTCCACATCCAAATTTTCTTTTTCTGTCTAGATTTGTTTTTACAACACTCCATCATCTTCCTCCCTCATCCCCACCCCAAAACCACACCTCATGCAGCCTGGAAAATACAATCCAGTGGGTTGTCCTCTGCACTCTTTGTAAAAATGCTTTTTTGCCATTTGAGATTTTTCTATCGGCCTATTTTCCTTCCTGGGTTTTCAAAAGAAAGATTCACAACTTAAAAATAAATGGAAAAAAATAGAATGACTCAACTTCTATTGCTCCTCAGATTTTCCAGGAGTAGGGCAAGCAAGAGAAATGGCACACAATTTAAATAGAAAGTCAAATGGAGCCAAGAATGTGGTAACTTATTAATGAGTAATGAAAAAATAACAAACCAGGAACAGCCGCTGAGCTGCTGGAAGTAGTTTTTATAAGTCCATTTGCATAAAAATACTGACTTTTTAAAAAACATTTTGCAAACACACTCAAACAAAGCTAAGAGACATCAGGGAGCTGAGAGATTTATCCTGAGACCAAAGGTCGGAGTCAAAGCCTCTTCTCATTACAGAACAAGTTTAATTTTATGCTGATCACAGCAATAAAAAACATGAGAGCTTTGGGGTAAAAATTAAAAGTGGTCATCTAAGCAAACCCACTCATTTGAAGGGACTGACTTTCATTCTTTAAATGGTTATCGAGCACCTTTTAAGTACCAGTGCTATCCCAGGAGCTACGAAGCCCACACCCATAAACTTCAGCCACGATTTATTTCTCAAAATAACTGAAAAAGCAAGAAGGATGCAAGTGAAGAAAACCTATTAATTAGATATATTAATAAACTTCATAAAATAAAATTTCTAATTAGCTTCTCAATAGATTCTGAAAAGACTTTTGATAAAAACTCAATATTCTTCCTAAGTTGTAGCTCATTATTTACAATAGGTTAAAACTGTTCAAGAGTAGAAAGAAGAGTCAGTCAACTATGATACTTCCACTTAAAAAATATCTATAAGTGATGATAAAGACAACTATACAGCAAAATTTTAAAATGGAAAAAAACTATGATGTGAAGCATACGAAAATCTGAGGACTATAAATTGTATCTGTGGTGTGAACAGAGCTTTGCAAACTATACCTACACATAACCAGACGGACCAAAAGAAAATAAGAAGACATTTCAGAGATTTATTTGACTGGGAGGAGAACAGCTAATTATATTTTTCATTTTGGTGTGTATTAAATTATATTAAAATATTATGTGATACTTTTGTGGAAAAGAGTGAGATGGGGAAGAATGAGTGGAAAACGAACACAAAATAAGCTAACCGACTGACTTTCTAACGCCTTAGATGCCACCTGCAGTCAAGCCGAGGTTGGTAATATGAGGGTGACGTTGGCAGCAGAGAGCTCCTTCACTGAGCCAGCCCAGGAGAAAGTGCAGCCTGGGAATCTGTCTAACCAGCCCAGCAGGTTCTCCGTGGCCTTGGCAGGCCAGCCACCCCCCCGCCCCCCTGCTCTGCAAGCTCAGTGTTCTGCTGGTTTCACCTGCTGAACCAACAGCACACACTGAGCAGCCAGTGCTAGCTCCAAGGGTGGGAAAGTGGGAGCTGCAGCCCTGCCACCGAAAGGGGCTTGAACACATGCGGTCCAGCAGAGCCCAAGGACCTTCAGCCCCGTCCCCACTTACCTGTTGAAGCATCTCTTCAGCAGCATTGAGTTTCACCTGGTGCCCTTCCAGACACACCTCCAGGTCCCGAATCTTCTCTCCTTGGGCTTCCACTTGGTCTGTGAGGACACTCACCTGACAGGGAAATGAAGCAACGTTGGGGGAGCAGGGATGGCTCCCCACTGGAGCTGAGCCCTGAAGCCACACCACTGATCCTTACGTAGGAGAAACGGCTTTTCTGTTTGAGAGGTGGCAGGTGGGGGAAGTGTCCTGGATGGAGGAAACTCCAGTTGCTTTCTTACATGGCCAGAGAGTCTCGGCCACCGCCTCAGTAATGTTGGTGGCGTTTCCTGCTCTTGACAGGCACCCAGCACTCACGAGAGCTGCCTCCCGGCTGAAGCCCTGCTCTGCCCCTCTTCTAGAGCTCGCTCTGGCAGCCCCGACCTCCAGGCGCACAGGCTGGCTTCCAGGGCTCCTGCCACCTCACGTGGAAGAGCGTGGAAGAGGAGCCAAGCTGTGTGGAGACCAACCAATGACCTCACCCCTCAGAAGGGTGTGAGAACTGCTCACCTATCAGGCCAGGGTGCTGAAGCAATTAAGGAATGTGGGACGCAGAGGGCATGTATTAGCGCTGACAAAACTTGGCTCCAGAAAGGTTTTTGTGCTTCACAGGCCAAAACACGACTCAGTCATAAACATACACAACCACGTTGCACATACAGTGGAAGGGAAAAGTCGTCTTTCTGAAGAACACTGGGAATATTTATTGGAATTAATTTAGAAAAATAAGTTTTAATAGGTTCTTTAAATTATACCCTAAAATATATACTGATAGGATTTTTATAGCCTGCTCTATTAGCAAACTGCCCCAGGATCGTTTTCTTTTTTTCTCCCCTTACACAGGAACTGATCTAAATTAATGTGGCTACTTCAGGCTTTCCATTTTCCATTTTTATGTTCCTGAGTGTCTAA